AGATTTTATTAATTAAAAAGCATGTCTAATTAATTAAAATCATTAAACTTATACATTTTCACATCAATTTATTCAAAGTTTAACAAAAATTACATGTTTAGGGCCCTATGAAATGTTTTATTTTTTCTCACCATATTTTTTATTGTTACCAAATTCTGTATTTTAGTATGTCTAATTATTTGAATGCATAAAAACAACTTAATTAGCCTTATGAATTTTTTTTCCTCAGAAATTCTGTGTTATGTATTTAATTTTTTCTGGTTATCAAATGAAGGCATAAAAAATTATTTCATTTATCTTTTAATTATTGAAAATTAAGCAAACTTAATTTTTTGGCAAACAAAGGGGATTTACTATTACAATTAAAACATGGAATAAATGTGATTATTCCTTAAAAAAAAATGTTTGTTTCATTTTAGTAGTTGTAGTAGGCTATGTACTTTCTACTGAAAAATAGTAATAGGCACAATGTCTTCAAATCAAACCGGACTTTTATTTTGACGGGTTGCCGTGAATACCTGTACGGTTCTGTGTATGTGATATGAAGCTAGTTTTACTCAAATCAAACGGTCAAATATAGTGGTCGACCGATATGCATATTTCATAGTATTCTAAGCAGTGATAAAGGCTATGTCGGTTAGCATTGCATTATGTACTTGTATACGTATTATATACTTATATAAAATTTAGTGCTGTCAAACGATTAATCGCGATTAATCGCATCCAAAATAAAAGTTTTTGTTTACATAATATATGTGTGTGTGTGTGTGTGTACTCTAGTGTGTATATGTATTATGTATATATAAATACACACTCATACAGTATATATTTTGAAAATATTTACATGCATGTATTTATATTTATTTATACTACGGGGCCGTTGAATGCTTGCATCTGATTGGCTGACCAACGTTCTAAGGTGTGCAATTATATTCAGGGAAACGCACGGCGAACGTAGTTCCAGGCAGCTCTTGACCACATTACATGAAAATATCACTCGCCAAATGATTTCAGTTATTTCAAAGGTCTTTACAGCTTACAACAGCAAAATAACCAAAACCCATAATGACACTGGCCAAACAAATAAATATAGTAAGCAATAGGATAAAAACGAGAGATTATTTCCATGTTTTGCCACAAAATTATGTTTTATTATGTACGTAAAGCACATACTCTACACAGACTGTGCTATCAACGGCTCAAGCCTCCATTACTAGGTCTAAAATGACGTTTTGGAATTAGCAACGGAGGTGTTGGATGAGATGCGGAAGAAACTAATCCTACTCACAATAGCATTTTAAGTACAAAAACTGGACGGATGCCTTGAAATATATAATCTGATCGATGTCTTGAGGTGTGGCAACCGTAGTGTAAGTGGAATAATTGGCTCCGGGCCGTTAACTTATTTGAAAAATAATGCACACCCGAGGTGTAACAACCACTCCGCTTCCTTACATATTTTATATTATATATAAATAAATTTAATATACAAATATAACACGTTTTTCTTAAAAATATACATGCATGTGTGTGTATTTATATATACATAATAAACAAACATATACTATGTAAACAAAAACTTTATTTTGGATGCGATTAATCGTTTGACAGCACTAATTAAATTATAATAAAATGAACTCTGATAAACCATATTTGGAGTTTCCATGCGAGAGCGCCCTCTGGCCTTTGGATGGAGATTTACTACTGATCACAGAACCGTGCTTCCCTGACACGTCGCGCCTAATCGCCTAATTTAATTTCGATTAATCGTGCAGCCCTAGGATAAAATGATCATGGCTGACCGCAAATAATGCATTTCTGCAATGGCATCAGTGACTTAAAGCTACATTCACTCGAAAGTGATTGTCACATAGATCAGTGCAAGTTAAAAACTTGCCGTTTTAACTGAAGTTTGTGTACTTGTGCAGGCTGCTGTGAATCTGCCGCACAGGCCTCCGCTGCACTGCTCCACCCTGATCCCAGCACTCTGCTTCTCTCTCCGCCTCCTCATGTGGGCCTGCCGGCTCAAGGACTCCTGGTGCTCCCTGCCCTGGATGCTGTTCATCTCGCTGGCATCGCACCACATCCGCGACGGCGTTCGGCACGGTCTCTGGGTGTGTCCGTTTGGAAACACGACGCCCATCTCTTACTGGCTGTACGTCACCATCACAGCCACTCTGCCTCACCTGTGCTCGGTGCTCATGTATCTGACCGGCACCAGAGACATGATCTCCACCAAACACGGAGTCGCCATAGACGTCTGAAACACTGGCTTGATTGTGATCTCTGCCTCATTGCCATTCCAACATAATTCGTCCTTATTCCTTGAGAGATTGGCAGTACGTTTGATACTTTTAACTACTGTGGTCATTCAGGTATCAGTGTGAAATCAGGTTGTATTTACTGTGAATATTTTAATATGTATGATGATGATGTAGATTAGGGTTGGGCGATTTAAAAAAAAAAAAAAGATATATTTTGCAGCCTTTTTGTACAATATGCTATATATACTGTATATATTTGATATAAAAATCCATTACAGTGCAAATAGAGAAATTATATTATCAATGTTATCTATTTTGCAGTATTTTGGCAATATTTAACAAGTAAGTATACTCTATACTCTAGTAAGTATACTTATGTATATACTCTGAATTAGTTAGTTTTCTATATATGAAATATGGTTCAAAATGGAGTTCATTTTGAAAATATAATTTCTATATTTGCTGATCTGGATTTAAATTCGCATTGTTGCCATGTAGATAATATTTAATGATTGTTAATATCTAATATTTTTTTTCATATGCATCAATATAACAGTATAAAGTAATAAACAACATACTAAAACGCCACACTAAGACGTTGATGAGAAATTTGAGTGATGAACAAACAAAACAAATTGCTAATTTATAGTTGTGAATTAATTCACTTTCTAATTTAAGATTGTGTGGTCATATTAGTGAAATTTTGGCAAAAAAGGACCGTTGTCAATAGCTTTTTTTGTCAGTTAATGTGACAGTCACGTGACCAACTTGAACCTGTTGCGAAATCTGCGTGCAACCCGATCTCATGGCAATTCATACATATTTTATGAGGTGGCTAATTCGTAGGACCACATACAAATTCTTACGATTTTCGCTAAATCGTACATATTTTAAGAGTTGCACAATTCATATAAATTTGTACGATTGATCTATGCCTAACCTGCCCGTCACTGGGGTCTAGACAAATCGTACAAAATCGTACGAGTGAGGTTGTACGAATTAGCCTCCTCGTAAAATACATACGAATTGGTCATGAGATAGCATTGTTGATTCCTGTTGAAATGACTGGATTTCACTCATGAAAATTTGTGCAACAGCGGTGAATGTGACCACATCTTAATGCCATTGTTGTTACTGAAATGTAATTAAAAATATTATTCAAATATCTGTTTTAATTCTTAAAAGGAAAGATTGTGAATCTATTAAAGGGGTCATATGATGCTATTTTAAAGATCATTATTTTGTGTATTTGGTGTAACAGAATATGTTGACATGCTTTAATGTTCAAAAAACACATTATTTTTCAAATACTGTACATTATTGTAGGTCCTCTATGCCCCGCCTCTCTCAAACACGTCGTTTTCAACAAAGCCCCTTCCTTTGACAAGCGCAGTCTGCTCTGATTGGCCAGCTGACCAATGATTCCTAATTGCATCTACTTCCGGAAGGCCAAATAAAGTGCTTTTGCTTTCGCACTGAAACACAGCGTCTCCCTGACATGCTGCATCAACACTACTGCTGTTCCTGAAACCACGCCTTCTTTCTTTGCGTGCACATTTGGGCGGCATTATGCTAATATTTCCACATAGTGACGTAGACATGTGGGGGCGTGTTAGAACGAGCAGTTTTAGGTAGCCGTGGTTGACTCTTAACTTTTATAAAGAATATCTCTTTGGATTTGAGACTTTAGTCTTTGCAACTTTACAGATCTTCGTTATGCACCAAGGGCTTGTTACACTCCAAAGAGAAAGGAAAACTTGAAATGGCATCATATGACCCCTTTAAAATAACATATTTAATAACTAAATAAAAAGTGCTTTAAAAACTAGTGCGATCATTTATATCACCAACAGAATGGATGTTGGATATTATCGCCCAGCCCTAGTTTAGTTGGTATGGATTCACTCTTACTAACTTTAAAAGCTTCAGCATTGTGTTGTCACATTTAGCTTAGTGGTATAGACTTGTCTATTCAAATAATGTCATTTTATTGCATTTATTTTCCGAAGGAAGCCACAGACTTGATGTGTCGTGCGTCCAGGAATAGGCATTGAGAATGGATGTGTTGATGGTCTTTGTGCTTGTGTATTTGCAGTTGAGGATCACTGTAGGTGTACTTGAAGGACATTATTCTTTCTGTAGTGTATTTAAAAAGCAGAAAAACACTGGTAGGTCTAGTTTCACTTGGAAAAGTCCTTAAGTATAAACCTTTTAAAATGGTACGGAAAAATGAAAATACTTTCTCTTGTTAAAAAAGGTTATTGCTGCCTTTTTAGACAGGCTTTGAAATAACTGTAAATATGACTTGGCGACTTTATTTCCAAACCGAAGCTTTATTTCCAAATCATTTATAACTTTTACGTTATTAAATTGAACTGTTATTAAGTGTCTTTGTATACACACTGCAATTTAACTTCTTGACTCAACTTCAGGTCATCCAAGATGTAGATGAGTTTGTTTCTTCATCAGATTTGGAGAAGTGTAGCATTACATCACTTGCTCACCAATGGATCCTCTGCAGTGAATGGGTGCCGTCAGAATGAGAGTCCAAACAGCTGATAAAAACACAATAATCCACAAGTAATCCACTCCATCAGTTAATGTCTTGTGAGGTGAAAAGCTGCATGTTTGTAAGAAACAAATTCATTAAGACATTTTAACTTTCAACTGTTATTTCAGGCCAAAATATTAGTCTATAATCCATAATAACGCTTCCTCCAGTGTTGTCCTCTTACATCAAAATCCACCAGCATATTTGTTTTGGCTTGTAAACTGTGCTTGATCTGTGCAGATTTCTCTCCTGATTCAGACAAGATGACTTTTCACTGGAATACGTGTTATTTTCGATAGAGGAGAGCAAACAGTTTAAAATATGAAATTCGGCACCCATTCACTGCAGCGGATCCTTTGGTGAGCAAGTGATGCAATGCTACATTTCTCCAAATCTGATGAAGAAACAAACTCATCTACATCTTGGATGACCTGAAGCTGAGGACATTTTGTTCATTCTTGAGTCAACTATTTCTTTAATTTTGTTTTTTATTCAGTTGTGTGCCATTATAGTTGCTTTAATAAATAAAATTGGTATAAGTAAGCAGCTACAAAGACAAAACGTGTTCAAACTGCTGTTGGGCTACAGATCTTGGACTAAATATTCATGTTGGCTTTTTTCCAGGTCAAATTAAATCAGACGTTGTTCAATATTAGTGTTTACAGTACAATGTATAGTTGATTTAGTATTGCATATGTATACTACCACTTAAAAGTTTTGGATTATGTTCTTGGTTAATATTTTCAATATCGTACAGGGATTATACTCTGCCTAAAAATGGTAAATTAAATCTTGTGTTTTATCTTTGTTGCCCCATTTTGTCTAGATTCACTATCCACCCGATTTCAGAAATGTTAGTTTGGTGCTTAAATGCTTAAATGGGCTCAAAACTAATTTCCATCATTATACATAAATGTTTTTATGGAGTATAAATTGTCATGTGTTTTCAAACTTTTGACTGGTGGTGCATATAAAACAGCTGCATTTTTTTTTTTTTACGGCATCAGGAAGTCCTGAATTACAGCAGTGGAAACGCGTGCTCATATGCTTATTTTCAGAAGCAATGGTAAAACTGTGCATTTATGAATTTGTTATGGTAATAAGGGAAGGAATGTTAAGTTATATGTTGGTTTGATGCCTAATGCTTAAATCAGTTGTAGAGGCCTTTTCAAACCTGCAGAGGGAGCTGTAGACCGACCTTATCCATGACCCTTTATAAATTAATTTCCGTTTTTTTTTTTTTTTTTTTACTGTAATTGTTGTAAATATTTATTTTATTTATATGCTTTTTTTGCACATAATATTGATTTGTCAATGATGTGGTGTTGATTGCATAGTCAAGAAATGACCGAAAGCATTATTTATTTCTGAAAACTGTCACTAAAGTTACACATGCACTTCTGTTTCAGTGGCTTTCTGTCTTTTATTGTTTCTGATTCCTTCCACTTTGAAGCCATAATGAAGCTCTACTTTATATACTTGAAAATGTAATTGTCTTGTCAGGCATTAATTTAGGGAAAAAAATATATCATGGTTAAGTCAAGGTAATAGTAGGGGAAGATGCCACCCTTAAGAGCTGTGTGCATTTCCTGGTAAACTGTAAGATCTAGAGATTAGTTCAGTGTGTACAGGATGATGCTGCATCATACAGTATATTATTAAAGGGATCGTTTATCCAAAGAGGAAAATTCTGTCGTTTACTCACCCTCATGTCATTCTAAACCTGATTGTTTTTTTTCTGTGAAACAAGATATTTTAAAAGAAATGTCTCAGTGTTGAGCGTTCATCAAAATATAACAACATGAGGGTGAGGACTGAGGAGGGTCAATATGACTGTAGGGTGCCTTTTTGGTGTCCTGTACATAAATAATTTGCCATGATATCTTAAAGGGATAGTTCACCCAAAAATGAAAATGTGATGTTTATCTGCTTACCCCAAGATGTAGGTGACTTTGTTTCTTCAGTAGAACACAAACGAAGGTTTTTAACTCAAACCGTTGCAGTCTGTCAGTCATATAATGGAAGTGAATGGGAATCACTGCTTTGAGAGTCAAAAAAACATACACAAACAAAACCAAATTAAACCCTGCGGCTCGTGATGATACATTGATGTGTAAAGACACGAAACGATCAGTCTGTGCAAGAAACTGAACAGTATTTATATCGTTTTTTACCTCTGATCCACCGCAATGTCTGAACTGTCCTGAGCGCGTTCTCAACAGCCGGCGCGTGACGCGTTTTCTTATTCTTGCTTTACGGCGGATCGCAGACTTATAAGTGCATTACCGCCACCTATCTCTCAAATGGACCATTGACACTCCTAAGTTAGATTGTAGATAGTGTCAATGGTCCATTTTTTTATATTGATAACAAAAGCATTACTTGGCTCTTTAGATACATTTTCTAGATTTGTTTTAGTTTTGTGTAAGAGGATGCGTGTTATTTTGCTATGTCCCATGCACTACTCATTAAATTTTAAATGATAGTAGAATATTGTCAAATCATAAAATTTAAAAATGTTGTTCTCCTATTCATATTTTGTTAAATAAGAGATTGCTCAATTTGAATGTATTGATCATTTGGTAATAAAAACAATATTTTTATAAAAAAAAAAAAAAAGAAGAAGAGTTTGTCCATGTCCCTTGAGTGGTTGTCCACCCTGTCG